CTGACCAACTTTTTAAGACTTCTGTTGATCTTTGATAAAAGAAAAACAGACAAAACCGCAGATCTCGTCTTGGCGTCATATTTGTTCTTTAATCTTCGATGGCTATCACACATACCGACCGACGGGATTCAACATAAAGTGTTCCAGATCTTCACAGTATTGCATTTTTGCACAGTGTTTTTTTTTTTTTAAGTTTTTTTTTTTTACAGAGTACAGAGTTCTTGAGTGAAGGCACAAACCTAGAGATTACTTCTGCAAATGAAATCCCTACGGACAAAAGTTGAGAAATCAAGAATATCAAACAGAACGCTGCTGCTAGAACAGTTTTACGCAAACAGAAAAGCTAATGTCACCTCTACCACCTTACTGCAAGAAAGGCAGAGAGTCATATTCAAACAAACAATACATCAGGTACAATACTTTTCTTTTCTTGCACACTTGAACCGCCTCTTGCACATCGATCACCCCAAACATTTCAAAACTCTTTCAAACCTGTGCACGAACCCTGCTGATTGTCCGTTATACATCCCTCTTCCCATCGAAAGACATCCAACAGTGCCAAGCGAAGCTCTCTTGGATGGTTTAGTGCAACTCTCCTTCAAATACCATTAAAATAGACCTCGCTCTGCTACAAAAGTACACATGGTAGTACAAGATAACAGTATTTTATAGGATTTTTTTGCTACATATGAAGCATGCTTTCACAGTAACACAATAGCTACATATGTAGTAGTAGTAGTAGTAGTGGTAGTAGTAGTAGGGCTGCTTCATGCATCTTCTTCCATTTTCCAAATACAAAACAGGAAGCAGTTCAGAGTCGAACCCAACGCCCGCACACTTCCAAGAGATCTGCTGTTGTCTGAATAAAAAAACCCAAAACTTAAAGCTGGTAAGTCATCCCTGACCGGCAGAGTAAACTGGCATCCACACAGGAAGAGGAAGTCACCAGAAACCTCGAGAAACTTCATGAAATTCAGCAACTTGTAGGTGGAGGAACCACACGTGCACAGAGCCACTGAATGTTTACCAACGGGAGTGAAAAACCACTTATTGACTGTCACATCATGAGCTACAAAGCCGTAATGTCTCCCAAGAATACCGTTATGTTTCATATCCAGAGACCTCTCGCTAAAGTTTTAGCCGCAGTTTTAGCTCGAAGTTTTAGCTCGAAGCTAACGGGAGGTCGAGACCTACTACAGCCGGGAGGAACACTGCTTTCCCGGCACATCGTGCCTCGACCTCCCGGTCGGCTTCAAGCCAGCGTCCGAAGAATGCGGCTAAAACGTTTGCGAGATCCCGAGTTTGTTTTGCGAGATCCCGAGTTTGTTTTGCGAGATCTCGCAAAAGTTTTGCGAGATCCCGAGTTTGTTTTGCGAGATCTTGCGAAAAAGTCCGTCTTAATTTTTTTTCTTCTCCCATGTCCCCTGCGGGGCTCCGTAGAGACCTGTCAAACACCATGCAGCAAGCTTCTACCAGGATATGAACTCATTACCAGATGGCAGACAGAGAATGATGTTGAACTGTTCGTGATGAAGGTCTCCGATGGCCAGAGACAAATGGCAACTTACGGCAGGAAAAAGATGCTAAAAAATTAGGCAAACATCAGCCGAGAGAACATCTGAGAAGATCCGTCCACAGCATGAGGTTAGTCATTAGTGTGGTGCTGGATGGTTTGGATTACTCCCCGATTCTAAGCTTAATGCCCATCAAGAGATGGGGTTTTTATGTCAACAACAGCAGTGCTCAGTGGTCGGTTTATCCAAACCTATCAGGTTTCTCCAAGCGGCGAAATTCAAGAATACCGTTTCAGGGACACGAATCCGTTTTTTTGACCACAGAACATTAATATCAAAGATATACTCTACATTACTACCAAACGTCTCACATCTCAGTTTGATTCCAATGAAAACACAAACATATAATTGGCTTTAAATATATTCTAGTAAATCTGAAATTCAAAAAGGGTGCCTGGAAGCTCGATTCTCGAAGATCTGACAAGGTCAATCGAAAGTCAAATTCACACCGGCTAACTGGAAAGAAAGAGAGAATAATAGATAATACAGATTTCATGCTGTAGCGCCTCAGCAGCAGCAGGGTAATATGCTTCCATAATTACATATTTCCAAGACGAATTTGCATGACATAATTAAGGAAATACCCAAATGTTTCCAGAACCTGCACCCTGTTAGACATAAAATGATTTCTATTTGCAAGTCATACAAAAGTCCTGTCAAGTTATAGTACTGTAGGACCACCACCTCCACTTGCTGACATGTAACAGCTCTGTATATAAAATATCAACACCATCAACAAAACCTAAACCGACGACAGCAAAGATACAGTTTACACCAAATACTGCCTTTTTTACATTTACATTCTAACGTTAGATGAGTGCAGAAATGTAAACGGATCGAGGAATGATTCTGTTAAGCCGTCGTGAGTCGTTAAGAATACTGCAAATGGACTGTACGCATTCACGGCACTGTTAAGTCACTTTGGATGAAAGCGCTGACGCGACGTCATTCGTGTGTGATTGGAGAATCTCCACCCGTTTAAACGTGAAGGAGCGCGAGCTAAAGCCCGAAACGTCGGGACTTGAAGCACGGCATCGCTTCACTGTGAGCTATAAATTAACTCATACATTCGTTAAGTGTGTGGCGTCCTCCAGACCTGGGCCAAAGCGCTCCTTCATGTACCTGGACAGCTATATTCAAAAAAAGCAAGCCTAGCCTCTCCAAAAGCATCTGCACTTGTTGGGGACTATTTTCAACCGTCTCCACTAATGGGCGTCGGCTACGCCAACAAGCCTTCGGGTCTTTTTTCAGTTCAGATTGTCTGAAATGGGACAAACCGTCCAAAAAGTTGTGCTGTTTGGTTTAAGTCCGCCACACCACTGATGAAATCCTGCTTTGGCAGCAGGTCGGTAAGTTTCTCACCGATGGAGAGCATGACAGCTCCTTAGAAGTGAAGTTAAAACATCTTAGAAATGGGCGTCATCGTCTAGGACATGTGACATCATCTACAGATGTCGCAGTAATGACTCAAGACACGATATCGAGGTCCCGCATTGGCCTGCATTTGTATAGCGCTTTTCTAGTCCTTAAGGACCCCAAAGCGCTTTTACACTACATTCAGTCATTCACACATTCACACACTGGTGATGGCAGCTACATTGTAGCCACAGCTGCTCTGGGGCGCACTGACAGAGGCGAGGCTGCCGGACACAGGGCCCTCTGACCACCACCAGTAGGCAAACATGGGGTTAGTATCTTGCCCAAGGATATTTCATGCAGCCAGGAGGCAGCTTGGGATCAAACCACCGACCTTCTGATTAGAGGCTGACCTGCTCTGCCACCTGAGCTACAGCCACCCCCTTATGATAAGAGACAGGCAACCGAGCAGCTACAGATCATTTTACTCCAACAAGTGTCCACACCCAAAGTCCAGTGGGGTGGAGTCGAGCAGCGTGTCAGCACCACATCAAACCCACCGCTAAAATATCATTGCCCATTTTTGCAACATTTTGTCCTTATTTGAGTAGCGTAGAAGGAAGCTGTTTCCTCCATGTTTACTTATCACCTGTTGTCATCTTTCCTCTCTATGCATCAAAAGCAGATCGATCTTCGAAGGAAACTCCTCTCAGCTACATGCTGAACAGATTTGACCCGGGTCTGGCATCATCGAACTTGTGCCTGTGCTTTAAAAACCAAATCAGTGCCGACAAGGAGGCGTTACTGAAAATCAACTTAACTCAGAGTCTCGTCTGCCCAGAAAACCTCTGCTAAGGAAGCTGTGGCGGGGGCGTGGTCTTTGGCCTGCTGCAGATGAGGGGTGGCACAGTGAGCTCACAGGGCGGCACGGAGGCGGGGGGAGGGAACAGGTGTACAGGACTGTTTAATGAGGGAGACCTGTTTTATGTTTCCGCATTGAGGAGCAAGAGCTGAGAGAGAGTCGGAGTGGCTGTGAGGCTGGTGCCAAAAACCGCAGAAAGAAAGACGTTGTAGCTCAATGACAGTTCAAGCACAACCCAGTCGTGTGTGTGTTACAGGCGCATCCTAATTGCTCAAACCACCTCAGCCGATTCCTCTTCGTACAAACTAAACTTGTGGTCATCAACAGCTGACTGCAATCAACCACATCACCCTCAGTCTTATTATCACTTTACTCGTGAATGGGATTCTCAGATGTACATTTTCCCAGATACGTTCACTGAAGAATCAGCTCATTATGCTGGTGAAGAGGGCTGTGTGCCTCCGTGATCCTGGGAACATCACTGTTTGAGAAAAAAAACCCTGCTAGAGTTTTCCAAGGCGAACAGATCCCAGGTCTGTTTGGTTTTCTTTTCTGAGTAACCTCAAGAAAAACTGACAACTAGAAGTGATAAACGTTGCCCAGAAGCTATCAAAGCCAAACCAGGGGTAATGGTGATGGGTGGAGCCCAAAAGAGCTGGAGTTGGGTATCACCTGAAATAGCCACGACTACAATGGCACTGAATTTGGTTCCATCAAGCAAAGAAAAAGGACTGTGGCTATGCAAACCCTTTACATACCAGGACCCTCCCTTGGAGAGGAATAGCCCAGACTATGAGCAGAAAGAGATTTAAACCAGACTGTTAAAGCAGCCTTGAAACATGGAACCAGTTGGGCACAGCCCAAAACAGTCACTGCTAGAAAGGATAGACAGTAGAGTTGGGTGCACCATGCAAAGGCAAGGATACAGGATTTCTCTTGGAATAGTAAGAATTTAGCTCCTTGTACCTCCTTCTTCAGCAGAAAGCCAAAGTTTCACTTGTGATGGGTTGTTGAGATGTGATTGAACAATAACAGACTAAACAAATCTTAAACTATCGAGACGGTCCCGGGTGATGATTTGGCTTAGAAAGCACAGGCAGAGACACGATAACTTGACTGATCAGGAGTTTTTGAGCGAACCAGGCCAGGATGTGAAGGTCTGACCAGAGGAGAGGACGTGTCATCAGGCGTCAAATTCAAATTCTGTGATCAGCATTAAATCATAAATCAACAGACGAATAGAAAGCACACCTTTGTACCTGAAGATAAAATGAACTATTGTACTTAACAGACAGAATTCAGTTCTATGTTTCAATATGGAAGGTTTACCCAGTCATACATCCAAAGGAAAAAGAACCAAGTGTAACAGTTTACACTTCCACTCCAGTTTAATAATCTATGGAAAAGTAACAAAATTACAGCAATCAATTAAAAGTGGAATGTGTCTGATGCAAAGAGCTCATGGAGTCACATTTGTTATTGCTTTATGTTGTAAACCCTGTTCGGAGGAAGCAGCCATGATAATCTGTCATCTTCAGAATTATTTTATCCAATAGATTTTATGTAAAAGCTGGATGTACTGGGTCAAAAACCAAGTAAGCAGAGCCTTTAATGGTGGCATAGCCTTCTTCTTGTCATCAGACTCCGCCCCCTGCTGGCCATTAGAAAGAATGCAGGTTTAAGGCACTTCCACACTGGCACCACTTCTCAGACCTGGAAGCTACGTCCATCTTTTATATAGTTTTCCCTCCATTATTATTAGAGGTCACGGGTCATTTATGGAGTTTTCAGGAGGAGAAGCACTAAAGTATAAATATTTAAATATATTTAAATATTTTTAAATAATCTGCCAGACACAAAAATATCCTTTTTAAAATCATTTTAGAAAATTTGGTCTAAATTTGCAATGACAAAAATATTCATGCCAAATTTATTACTGTTAACTTTTGGACTCCTGGGAGTCAGACTAACAAATCCAGCTTTAAGATGAGAAGTGGTGTAAAAGAAGTCGGATGTTGATGGGAGCTACTTTTCCATAGGTTAACGTACTGGAATGAAGTCACGGAGTGATAAAGTCTTGCCCCCTGACACCCCTCCCTCTGGTCTTTCTCTGCTGGTCTAGTCCTCGTACCCAGCGGACCGGCGCCGCTGATGGTTCCAGATGTCGTCTCTGTGTTCAGGCCGGCAGAACAGCCGGGATGACTGAGCTAGGCGCTCCCGGTGTTCCCGCTCTCGATCTCGGTCTCCGCCTGGTTTGGATGACAGAGGACGTCCGCCGAACTGGGACGAGGACTGAGTTCTGCTGTCAGCGAGACCAGACGAGGACAGCTGACCTCCTGCTGACCTGGAGACGAAATTCAGACATGAACAAACAAACGAGAGAAGGAAGCTGTCATTTTAACTTCATATGATGGAAACATTCACGCCTTAAATACAGTTTTACACAGTAGGAGTGGGTAGCCAGTCGCACTGATGATAAACCAGAACTGTCCCTGGTTGGTGTCCAGCCTGGAGACCATCAGCACCTCAAATGCTGCCTTTTCACCTGCATCACTGATGATCTCAGCTCAACAAATCCTTATGAGTTTGACACGAAACCAGAAAGAAAAATGCACCAAACATCCTTTTATGTTCAGCAACTTTACATCGAAGACACAAGAGTAACCCGATCAGGTAAGACATGAAAAATTCCATCTAACTGCAAAAACAGACAGAACCTGCTGTGCAACATGAGTCGGTTTTTACGGACACGCTGGACCGAACAGCTGGTCTCACACGACGAATAAAGTTCAACAAGAACCTTTGAAGATAAACAGCATCTGACCTGAGCGCACACAGAGAGACTGTGGTAATCCCTCTGCAGTCACTGAGTGAAAGCACAAAGCATCCCATGTCGAGCCATGAATGAAACATGAGGACACCACAGAGAAACCCGACAGATGACACGAGAAAGCTCCTGGATGATTTACCACCAACTCCGTCACCTTTTGACTTTGATTTCGACCAACAGCAGCAGATTACCTGCTCTGTTAGAACCTTTTTACACCTACACCCCATCGGTTACTGACGACTTTCCTCCCACTCAGCTCAAATTCAAATGATTTGCAATAAAAAGCCAAGAGGAAAAGGAAACAGCTGCTGTAATGCTGCACTTTCAGAGGAACACATATGAATTCAAATCTACTTTATTTATATAGCACAAATTCACAACAACCAGAGGGCACTTTATGATGTAATTATACAGAGAAAACCGCAACAATCAGACAAACCTGTATGAGAAAACATTTGGTGACAGTGGGAAGGAAAAACTCTTTTTTAACAGGAAGAAACCTCCTGTAGAAGCAGGCTCAGAGAAGGGCGGCCAGAGTTTAATAAGATTTTAAATCCTACATTTGTTAGCAGTATTTAATAATATAAGTTTCAACCTGTTTGTGTCCAGTTAACACTTTATTATTTCTCCTTTATTTCAGTCTGAAAATTCGCTATTACTGTTTATTTAAAGTAATGATGGACTCACCTGCTCTTAGTTATTCTGTGAGGGCCGTTATCAGTTTTCTGCTGGTGCTGCTGAGGTCATAAAAATCACAAGAATCAGGCCTTCATCAGAGCAATAACCCACCACAGTAAAACATCATATAACTGGAAAAGTCAGGATTGATTCAGTCTGTCAGTGTAAAAGTTATTTAAAAGCAGCTGAAAAAACAAACATAAAATGACAAAGAAACACAAAGACTTACAAAACAACTAGAATAAATAAATGAATGAATAAAAACCAAAGACAGTACCTTGTAGTGGTTGCACTGTGGCGGACTACCGTTGACCTGGTAATACTCCACCAGCCTCTCGGCCAGAGCGATACGTCTCAGCAGATTCTCGATGAAGCGCTGGATTCGAACTTTGCCGCACGTCTCCTGGCGAACCGCCGCCTCCAGAAACTTCTGGATGGTTAACACTTCCCTGCAAAGCAAAAATCACCCAATTCATAACTTAAATATACCCTTCACCCCCAGCTATGCAAGAGAGGCAAAAGGGAAATAACAGGCTGCACCTTCAGATCCTGTCCATGAATCATAAGCAGGATCAGAGACAAGGAGCAACCCTGGAGTCCAGCACCATCCACCTGGCACATCCTCCAGACCAGCGGTCCCCAACCTTTTTTGCGCCATGGACCATTTTATGGTCGACAATATTTTAATGGGCTGGTGTTTAAGGTGTCGTGCATAAATACAACAAAATAAAACTAGTACTGGTACCAAAAAAAAAAAGGAAGATTTATTCTTAACAAACAAAAAAATAAACCCTGAAAACATAAATTTCACACCCGAACCTCCACTCTCGCGGCCCAGTACCAAACGACTCTGGTCCGTGGCCCGGGGGTTGGGGACCGCTGCTCCAGACCACATCAGTGACATCCTGCCCGCCTCACCTCTCTCGCCGCTCCAGCTCATTCTCTGAGGCGTTGAGCTGCTCCCTCAACGCGGCAATCACCATCACAGCCACATCCACCTGTCGGCTAAGCGACCTCTCCTTGTCTGCAACTTCCTGCCTCTCCTGGGCCAGATGCTGTGAGTGAGCACGCTCACACAGGAGCTCCGTGTCGGTATGAGCCAGCTCGGTGCTCACCCTGGCCAGCCGGCGCTGCATGGTGCTGTCGGCCGCCCTCAGAATGCTGGCCAGCCGCTGCCGCACTGCAGCCGAGGCTGCTGCCGTCTCCAAACCGGAGTAGGAGTTATGCTCTGGTAGGTGCAAACAAGACGAGACGTTACTGCAAAA